GGTAGGATTGACCCTCGATACGCTAAGCCAGCGAGGATTTATACGATTCCACATGTTCCTTGGAATGACGCGGGATGGAAATACGCCCAGAAGGAAAAGGAAGAAGTTATCGCTTTCCAGAAAGAAAATATGATTTCCCACGTTGCGGAGCCGTCTGATAGCGCTTATGCTAATCGATGGTTCTTCCTACGGAAACCGAATGGCAAGATTCGATGGATCCAGGACCTTTTGAAGGTCAACGCGGTGATGATACGAGACGTGGGCTCCGTGCCGCACGCCGATTTACTGGCAGAAGGCGCGGCAGGCAGGTCGATCTATTCAGTCTGTGATCTGTTCTCAGGCTATAATGAGGTACCGCTTGACCCTAGGGACAGACAACTCACGGCTATGCATACGCCATTGGGACTAATTCAAATGATGGTTGTCCCTATGGGTTGGACTAATRGGGTAGCCGTTTTTCAGAGAGCCATGGTAGCCGTCCTCAAGGACTTCATCCCTGATAAGGTTGAAGTTTTTCTGGATGACTTTCCTATAAAAGGGCCAGTAGAGAGGGATGAGACAGAGGTTATACCTGGAGTTAGAAGATTCATCGAGCAACACCTAACAAACATTTGCGCGGTACTCGAGCAGCTGGACGATGAGAATTTGACAGTCAGCGGAACCAAGAGCCGATGGGCCGTCTCGACTATTAAGATTTTGGGTTTTATATGTGACTCGAGAGGACGTCGAGCAGACCCGGCAAAGTTAGACAAACTCCTGAACTGACCGTCACCGTTACATAGCCCAATCGAGGTCCGACAGTTTCTGGGAGTGGTCGGTTACTGGCGTATATTCATACGGGGGTATGAGGAGAAGGCTGAGCCATTGAGGTTACTCCTTCGAAAGACTGAAAAATTCTACTGGGATTCTTCGCAGGAACTCGCAATGCAAGAACTTAAAGACAAATTTAAGGAGGGAGGACGCGTGTTGGGCGTGCCATTCTTTGACGATTAGACCGAGAGACCCTTCATAGTATCCACGGATGCTGGACCATGTTCAGTGGGTGGTTTGCTGTCTCAGAAGGACGCTGGAGAGAAGGAAAGACCGTTAAGATTTGAGAATAAGACACTTAATACGGATGAGCGTATCTACAGTCAATTCAAGAAGGAGGTGTTAGCTGTTCTCCAGTGTCTAGACACGTTCAGACACTATATCTATGGGCGACGGTTCATCTTGAGAGTAGACCCCACCGCGGTTGCCTCTGTCCTCCAGAAGGACTTTAGTCTAACGGACCCGACCATCGCCCGATGGTTAATACGAATTCGGCTATACGATTACACGGTCGAAAGAGTATCTGGTACGAAAAATACCGTGGCAGATGGACTTTCACGCATCCCTCTCGAGCGTCCGATATTAGCTGGGGCTCTGACAATGGCAGAGCCGAGGCGCGCCGAGAGATTTCTAGTTAATCTTTACGAGAGCAAGTACCGAATGATCAGACTACACCTCACGGGAGAAGAGAGTCAAGATTCAGATATCCGGAGGTAAGCAGCCCAGTACTGCCTTAGGGCGGGCCACCTTTTCCGAAGGCCAGTAGGGTCGGGAATGCCCTTACGAGTAGTCTGTGACCCTGAGGAGAGACAAACAATAGTTGCAGAGCTTCACGACGGGATAGTCGGAGGACACAGGGGAGTCAAAGGAACCTACGAAAAGGTACGCAGGTTGTACTGGTGGGAAGGACAGTATAAGGACGTCGAGAGGTATTGTAGGACCTGCGAAGAGTGCCAGAAGAGAGCTCTTGTGAAATACAAAGAGCCACTTCATCCATCCTATCCAACCCGACCAGGAGAGAAGGTACACATCGATCTAGTGAAAATGCCGAGAGGGTTAGGCAATATGAACTACGTCGTGAACATACGAGACGATTTCACTGGGTTCGTGGACGGTAGACCTATCAGGAGTAAGGCGGCAAAGGAAGTAAAGAACTTTATCCTAGAGTACTTATCTAGGTATGGTTGTGTCAGTAAGATAGTGATGGACAGAGAGGCGGAATTCCTAGCCGACGAGGTCCAGAGCGTGTTTAAGAGAGCCGGTGCGAGAGTTTCGATAGCCACCGCCTATCACCCACAGTCGAACTCCCCAGTAGAGAGGGGACACCAGACTCTGATAGCGTCGCTGTCCAAGTGGTGCAAGGGTAAGGACAGTGATTGGCCACGATATTTTCGATACGCAATATGGGCAGACAACGTCACGGTCCAGGCTAGTACCAGATACCCCCCGTACACCTTGTGGTTTGGGCGACATTGTCCGCTTCCCATAGAGTTTCACGTCGACAGCTGGACAACCGTCGACTGGGCGGAGGAGATGTCCAGAAAGGAACTCTTAGCTGCCCGAACGAGGCAAATAGCCTACGGTTTGGAAGATGACCTCATGACAGCGGCAGATCGTCTGGTAGTAGGAAGGGACAAGGTAAAGAGAGATAGGATAAGAACGTGCGAATTAGGAAAGAGAGGGTGAACGTAGGAGATATGGTCCTTCTTTACGATGCAGCGCTGGAAAGAACCTGGACCGGAAAACTCGCCAACAGATGGATGGGACCTTACAGAGTGGTTGAGGCACTCGACTGGGGTGCATATATGATAGCAGAATTGGATGGATCTAAGTGGAAGGACCCAGTGGCGGGCGCTAGGTTAAAGATGTTTAGGCCCAGGCCCACGCCTGCTTTATCGCTAACCAGCCCGAAAAGGAAAGGGAAAGCCATGGTGGAGGATGAAGCCCCCTTGAGGCAATTCGAGGCAGGGGAGAGTTCCAAGAAAAGGAAAAGAATAGAGAAGAAAAAGGTCAAAGGGTTAGCTTTAGGAAGAAAGAAGAGATGGTTATTCGTGCTCAAGCGAGCTAGACGGAGAGTTCGGGTTAGACGTACTGGCGGGTCGACACCCTTCTCGGGGCAAAGACAGAAGAAAAAGAGTATCGTGCCGGGGCCAAAAACCAGA